GAGGGGGGGGAGGAACGAGGAGGATGAGAACGGGGGCGGTGACGAGATGAGAGCTATGGGGGATATGGGCCCCCCCCTGCCCTGTGTGCCCCCCCCCAAGGCTGCGCAGGCGGAGGGGTTCCGCAAAATAAAATAAAACATGCACAGTCGTAGTCGTAGTCGTAGTCGTAGTCGTAGTCGTAGTCGTAGTAGTAGTAGTAGTAGTAGTAGTAGTAGTAGTAGTAGTAGTAGTAGTCGTAGTAGTAGTAATAGTAGTTGTAGTAGTAGTAGTAGTAGTAGTAGTCGTAGTAGTGGTAGTAGTAGTAGTAGTAGTAGTAGTCGTAGTAGTAGTAGTAGTAGTAGTAGTAGTAGTGGTAGTAGTAGTAGTAGTAGTACTAGCAGCAGCGGTAGTAGTAGTAGTAGTAGTAGTAGTAGTAGTAAAAGTAATAGTGTTAGTAGGCGTAGTAGTAGTAGTAGTAGTAGTAGCAGCAGCAGTAGTAGTAGTAGTAGTAGTAGTAGTAGTAGTAGTAGTAGTAGTAGTGGTAGTAGTAGTAATAGTAGTAGTCGTCGTAGTAGTAGTAGTAGTAGTCGTAGTAGTAGTAGTAGTAGTAGTAGTAGTAGTAGTAGTAGTAGTAATAGTCGCAGTAGCAGCAGACCCGCCCTTGGCTTGCCATCCAGGCCTTGCCCCGCGTCTTCTCGCGCTAGTTGGCCTGGGTGGCGGTACTGGGGTCGCCCCGTGTGCTGCTGTGCCGTTGCTGGCGCTTCACCTTGCGCCGTTGGACCAACTGCCCACAGTACAAGCGCCTGACGCTGCAAGCATGTCAGACCCGCCCTTTCACCCAGAAGAGGTGCGCGCAACATACTGGCAATGAGGCAGCCACAAGGACGCTCTCCCCTAGGTGGTTGAGCCGTGGTGATGTGGTGCACGAGACCGCCAGTAGTAGTAGTAGCAGTAGCAGTAGCAGTAGTAGTAGTAGTAGTAATAATAATAGTAGCAGTAGTAGTACTAGTAGTAGTAGTAGTAGTGTTAGTAGTAGTAGTAGTAGTAGTAGTAGTAGTAGTAGTAGTAGCAGTAATAGAGGCAGCAACAGCATTCGTAGTATTGGTAGCAGTAGTGGTCGTAGAAGTAGTAGTAGTAGTCGTCGTCGTCGTAGTAGTAGTAGTAGAAATAGTAGTAGTAGCAGTAGTAGTAGTAGTAGTAGTAGTAGTCGTAGTAGTAATAGTAGTAGTAGTAGTAGTAGTAGTCGTCGTCGTAATCGTAGTAGTAGTAGTAGTAGTAGTAGTAGTAGTAGTAGTAGTAGTAGTAGTAGTATCAGTATCAGTAGCAGTAGCAGTAGCAGTAGCAGGAGCAGTAGCAGTAGCAGTAGTAGTAGTAGTAGTAGCAGTAGTAGTAGTAGTAGTAGTAGTAGTAGTAGTATGAGTAGTGTCGCCATCGCCATCATCATCGCCATTGTAGCCGTCATCGCCACCACCATCAGCATCGTCATCGCCGTTATCATCATAATCATCTGCACCCTCATCATCACCAGCAGCATCGTCGGCATTATCATCATCATCATCATCATCATCATCATCATCATCAGCGTCTGTATCATCGGCATCAGGCTCATCATCAGCATCTTCACCATCATCGCAACCTCTTCAGTCCTCCTCTACCTCCGACGATGCTGACGATGCTGATGATGATGATGAGGAGGAGAATAATGCAGATAATGATGATGATGGTGATGATTATGATGGTGATGATGCTGATGGTGATGATGATGGTGCCGATGACGATGATGACGATGATGACGTTGTCAATGCTGATGATGACGATGACGGCGACGATGATCTAACTACTACTTCGCGGTGGCTAAAGTGACTTTAGAACCCTGCTGAGGCCACCCCAGATGACAGGGGGCGCTAAAGGAGGATCGACAAAATGGCCATTCTGTCCACGGTCAACCTCGGACATGAACAGAAACGGCCCGGAAATCAGAGCCTCTGCTGAGCCCAACATGGTCTTTATTTCAGCGCCATGTTTGTAGGATAGGCCGGAGAGTACGAATGCAAAGGTACCCTTGGAAAGCTTGCTCATCCTCATGATGCGGTTTGGCTGTATCCGCGTCGTGGACGACGCGGGCATCAGCCGCGCGAGGCCCTCACGCGCCCTCGCGGCCCAGCTCGGGGTGCACCAGCAATTCGTCGGCGCTGGTGTCGCCATCCGTGTCGCTGCCAGCGGAGTCGGCGTAGCTATCGTCGGCACTGGTGTCGCCGTCGGGGTGGGCGGTCGTCGTCGCCAAGTTCGCGCGAGGCTGGAGAGCATTTTCTATGTTTCGCGATAACACCCGTTACCGGGCCCAACCCCCGACCCCCACCTCTATGGTAACGCCATGATTTCCGGAGCACTGGCCAGCAAGAAAACCAACAGAGCACCCAACAGCCATGAATGCCAAAACGATGATACCTGCCTCAATTCCGAAGGGCACTTATTTACCCGGGGTCGCCAAAACGCTCACGAACGCAAGAATTGTGAAAAGCATGACAGTACCGAATGGCATTGAAAATACTGCATGTGTGACGCTTCTTGCGAACACCTCGTTGGTTATGAACACAATGTTGTTCCTGATGCTATCACCTACAATATAACGCCACCGACCCTGCTAACACCGTTTGTCACCGCCGTGGAATGCATGAACACAAGCGCAATTCAACACCGGAACCGCTGTGAGCAGATCGGCTGTTCCGTCGTCCATGCATGGGTTCCTCCGTTTTTTCCTCCGTCACTCCTGCTCCCCACCCCTCGGTGTTCTTGCTTCTCCCACGGTGCAAATCATCAAGCAAATTACTACGATCCTCTCCCCCCAGATTCCGTCGGAACGGCTCGCCGACTCTCCCAGTTTGCTTGTACGCATAGGGCCCGAGCGGTATATGTCATGTGATCGTCGTCGAACAGCTCGTTTGTATATTTGGCGCGTGTTCTGAAGTATGCTGCCAATGCAGTGCTGGCCTCATTTCAGGATCGGGCGCGTTGCTACCGTCGTTCAAAACGGCGCATTCGCCCCAACGCGGGTCACACTCCTGGATATGACTCATTCCTCGTTGTTGTCGCCGTTATCGCCGTTCACCTTTCCCCACCTCCGCGCCCCACTGGCGAAGGACGCACCCCCCAACCCCCAGGGGGGAGGCGCTTCAAGCCGAAACGGAGGCACGGAGAGAGAGGTCCTCCACCCTTAGCCACAAGGGCCTGGGAGGAGAGGGGACGGAAGTAAGGAACAGAAAATGGGGAAGGGAGAAGGAAAAACAATAAGGAAGACGGAGGCTGGAAAAAGGAAGGAGGCGGATGAGGGATCGCGAGAAAACGCGGAACACCCCAGCGCGACCCAACGAAAACCCCAAGACGGCACAATGCAACCCCAAAGTGGCTGGGATACGGCCCGCTTGGTGGCGCAATGCGAAAAATTACCGCGACGACGCGCCCAGCCTTTGCGCAGCGCATGGTCATGATAGCTGGGTGTATTTTTAGGGCGTGATAACGTGGCGAGGAGGTATACGTTGCTGCGAAGGACACTTGGAAGGCTCGCGAACTGCGCGGTCCGCAGGACACCGATCAAGAGACAAGGGCTCGATACAGGTCATTCGTTGGGCTATGGCGCCGCAGCATCCATCCTCTGGATGTGGCGACACTTCGCAGGTCGCACCCCCCTCCCCGGATGGCGGGGTCGAACCAAACGTTGCAACGCGCGGCGATGCCGCCCCCCCCCCCAGCAGCCCTCGGAACCGGCAGCAATAGGACGCCACGGCGACAGGGGAAGAGGAATGATGAATTTGAGGAAACGCATCGGCGCGAAAGCCTCTGGATCGCGCGTTGGCAGCAGCGGGAGGACATGACAGCTGGAGAAATGGCAGCTGGGAGGGAAGGGGTCGACGACCAGAGGAGAGCAGAGGAAGAAAAGAGTCTATGTTTCGAGGCACGCCAGCAAACTGGCGCAGTCCGCGCAAGCACTGCGCAAGGCCGAGATCCTCTGCCAGCTGCTGCGCCTCTGCCGGACTCTCATCAGCGAGAGAACTGAAAGCGCGCAGGCGCGCAGCGAATTCCGCCAGCAGCCGGCGAGAAAGGAACTGCAGCCCTGGGCCCCGAATCGCCATAAGATTGTCGACCGTGGTGGCCCTGGAGAGTATCGCGTAGCGATGCAGCCGCCGGCCGTCCTCCTCGTCATCGTTCTTGCGCCCGGCGTCGACGATGGCTCCGCGCCGCATGGCCAGGCCCTGACTGGCCGTGGAGGTCAGGACCTGGGCGCAGGAGTTGGGGGAGCCTGCGCGCGTGAACTTGCGCTTGCGTGACAGGAAGGGACTCGAGGTCTGCGGCCCGATGAACACAAGTCGTGCCGCGTCGGAGGCGTCGACGTCGCCGCTGTACTCCGCGAGTTTCTTGCCGAAGGCAGGGGCCTTACACTTGTCCACGCGGACCCAAACGCCGAGAGGCAAGTGCTGCAGGTGCGCCGGGCGATTCGTTTTTTTCGCCGACCTCGACCCCGCCTCGTCCACGGGGCCGACAGCTGCGCCCACGACCTCGCCCGACGGGCGACCGCGAAGGGCGGCGGCAATATCGCCATCCGAAAAGAAAGCACGAGTCCTGCTCGTGGTCCAGAAGCGGGGGTGACCAGAGGGCCGGATGAGCAATCTCACAGGGCGGCAGCGATATCACAAGCCGAAAAGGCCAAAACCATTGATTTCCCAATGAGTTTTTGAAGGGTTGTGGCCTTTGCGTTTTTTCGGCCTGCCGACGGCCCGAGGCGACCCAAGCGCCCCCAAAGATCGCCCAAGCGGCCCACGACGGCCCCAAGAGGCCCCCAAGACGGCCCAAGAGGCCTCCAAGACGCTCAAGATGGCCTCCAAGACGGCCCAAGAGCCCTCCAAGACGTCCTCCAAGAAGGCCCGAAAGGGTCAATATTGCCTCCAGACGGCCAAGATGACTTTCAAGATGCCCACGTGTTCCCGAAGGCTTTCCAAACCGATTCGGGGAACACATGGTCCGATAGCTTGGCAGGTCTGGCCTCAACGTCCAGCCACATAGGCGCTTCTAAAAAGGCAGGGGGCGGCGGTGATTCGCCGTAGGCGTCTTAGATAGATACTCTCGTTCCAAATGGGCTAGGCTGCTTAAGACTACGCAGTCGCACTAATTATCCAGCGCAGACCGCAGACGTGGACACCACTGGCACTGAAATGAGGAGCCAATCGTTTGGTGGTGTCAGCGGCTCTTGCTGCGTTCTGTTCTGGCCAATGCGCTCCTTGACTGCGGTGGGAACTGTCACACAGAGCGCTTCAGAAAAAAACACTACTGAAGTTGAGCTGAATACTGTGCATTGGGTCGTATCAGAAGGCATGATCGAGAGGCGTCGCGCCAAGCCTTTCAACAAAAATCAACTCTGCGAACCAAACTCCTTTTGCAAATCTGGTCGGATCAACAAAGACCACCATGTCATGCTTCAATGCCCATGATTGCCAGCCGCCGCACCAAGCCGCGCCGCAAAGCCACAATCATGCGGGTCAAATCATGTCACGAGCGCAACTCGGAGCACAGATCGGCTTCTTCAAACTTCAATGGTCAAAATTGCTGGCCGCCAGGCAAAATCGCGCCGCAACCACCAACCCTGCGACTCAAATCCTTTCATGCACCCGGCTCGCCTCGCCTGCTCGCAGGATGCCTACATGGTGGCAAACGCCACACGGCCTGAAAGAGAGGCCGCTCGAAGACAGCAAGACCGGCAAAGACAAATGATCACGTCAGCTGTGGTGCCAACCCAGCCTCCGAGCCCCAACACCCCTCTGGCGCTGGGATCGACTCAGAACATAACGACGAGGACCAACTGGTGTCCAGGAAAGCTTCCAGTAACAGAACATTGGTCAGCACTGCGGAGACAGCATCGCCTGTCTTGGGGACAATCGATGCTATCATCTGCACGGCTCGAGTTGGTATCTGCAATGAGGCTAACCTCCCGTTGTCGTGAGAGGATCTTCGACATGGCCATCGCCGTCAGGGCATGTGAACGCGTTCTCCTCGGCTGCCTCCACCGCGTCGTCGTCATCGTCCGTCGAGGTGGATAGGATGCTATGCGAGCAATCGGCTTCCGGCAAGAGGGGCTTGCTCCAATCACTGCCCCACGACCACGTACAAGTAACAAGCGCTGTCTCCACTAGAGCTGGGGAGGACTGCCGTTTCGCCGCCCGCGGGCCAACGACCTCCACGGACGGAGAGCTGCTCGGGCTTGCCACCCCGCTCTCCGCGTCGCCGTGAACAACCTCAACCGTGTCGCTGAACGTGGTGCGTCTGCTGCCTGCCATTCACAGATCGGCGCGGGCGGACAGGGCTCGGCGCGGGGACATGACGCGGGCGGACCATGCCCCTGCCCGAGTGCGCCTGCTGTCTGCCATCCATGGCCTGACGCGGGCTTACACCCGAGCTCGGTGCGGAGCGACTGCCTGAGCCCCCCCAAAAGGGTGATCACGGGCTCTCGAGCTGACCGAAGAAGAGCGGACGAGACAAGCGGGGCATGTGATGCGTCCAAGGAGGGTAGCATCACAAAAAGCGAGCGCACCTAGGATGGGATGGCTGACCGGGGCAGGACAACGACTAGAGGGGGGATGTCCGTGCCGATTGCTGGCATCGGCGCTGGAACCATTCCCCCCCTGGTGCGGGAAGCGAGCCTTCAGGCGCCACCAGGGGGGTCCAGCGCCGACCCGAAAAATCCGCGCGGACCTCCGTACGTCTCTCTCTCTCTCTCTTTCTCTCTCTCTCTCTCTCTCTCTCTGTTTTCATCTATTTGTTTGTTTTCTCTCTCTCCCTCTCTCTCCTTTCTGTCTCTCTCTCTCTCTCTCTTCCTGTTAGTTGTATCCTCGATTCCTCCTACGGTGCAGCTGGCACGAGGGTCCCTTCCTCCTTGGAATGCCCTTCTTTGGGGCATCTCCGTGGGACCCTGGGCCCTGGGAGAAGAGGCTTATGTTCCTGACCCACGTTCTCGTGGCCACGTTTCGACGGTTAGTTGGCATGAGAGAAACCGGTCCTGAGGGACAAGGGGCCCTGGAACCTGGAGCCTTCCCCTAGAACCAACTCTTCGAACTGAATCGTTTTTGAATGCTCCGGGGCCCCGGGAGCACCCCGAGAGCCCCCGAAAACGGGGAAAAACCTCAGAGCACAGTTTCCTCAAGACTCGTTGGCTGCATGGCGACTTTGATAATGCCCGCCATCGCCAGGAAATAACAACAAGCAGGCTCCTGCTCCAGATCCTCGTGGAACCGCGCAGCCCTCTTGCGCATCGCGCCGCTGGCGTTGCCGGCCAACTGCTTCAGCCGATCCGCCGGAGGTAGCGCCTCCAACCTCAGCTCCGAGAAGTTCCTGAGCACCACGGGATCGAAGGGCTTTGGGGATCGTTTGGGGCCTCCGCGGCCCCTTGCTGGGCCCCCGGGCCGTCAACAAGAACTTACCGAGATGTGGAGCCCGCCCTCACGAGCGGCTCACATATCAGTATCCGCGCCCTCGCGGTCTGGATTCTGGTGCGCGATCTGGCGGATAGACAGTCGCTATGGTACGTTCCGCGCGAGGCATCCGCGAACAAAAACGTCCCGTATCCGTCGGGTCGCAGCCCAGGCGCCCGGCCCGCGAGGCCGCGGATACTGCTTCCTTCGCGAGCGCAATCGGTAGAGCTGCGCGCCTTCGCAAGGGTCAAGCAAGCCGAAAGGCAGCGGCCGTTGACAGAAGCTGCGAGCAAGCAGCACGCTCAGAAACCGAAAAAAGCGAAGAGGAAGAAAGGCTATGTGTTTCGCCCACGAGGACCACGGGAAGGTGTCGAGGCCTCCAGGGGTCAGCGTTATGAAGAAAACCGCGACGTCCAAGCTGTAGAAAAAAACGCGACGCTGGGATTCTGGGGAGGAAACGTACGGAGTCTTACGCACGATGGCGTGACGAACGAACGCGATGGCTTATCCAAGCCGCTAACGCGGCACACCACGCAGAAGAGAAGGCGCTTGCACGCGGCCTTACGCGGGCAGCTTGCGCGCGAATGTCTGTGTGGTCGATGTTTTGCAGACGACCCCTCAAAATTGCGTCCTGGGTCGCGTTCCTGGCCAGGGCTTCGGGGCGGATCCAGTCGTGGTGACCAGGGCGCTCCATGCCCCCAAAAACATCCAAAAACCGCCGAAGGCTATCTTCATGGCGAGGCTCCTGAATCGGGAGAGGGCCACATACATCTGCGCCGGCTCGAAAAGGTGGGAGAGGTCCACGTGGCCGCCGTCGAGGGTCATGCCCTGGCACTTGTGGACAGTGATCGCCCACGCCAATCTCAGCGGAAACTGCGACCTGCAGTACTTGCCCACTCCTGGAGCAGCTTAGAAAATCCTGGCGTCCACGGCGTCGACGCCTAGATGCTTCTGGCCGGCTACACGCAAGAATGCCCCTGGGCAACCGTGACATTTGGTACGCGGTATGCAGATCGCTGCGTGCGACGCGACAGTGGCGGCCTGGCGCTTGGGTGGACCCCCCCACGCCTCCCGAAAGCCGCGCACCAAAGGTCACTCTGGCAAAGTGTGCCTCTTACGTGTAACCGAACTCCGAAGACCTCTGGAGGCCTCTGGACCGGCTCCTGACATAGGTAATATTACCGACATCGATCTCCCCTTCTGCGCCGCTCTGCCCAAACGTAATTTGCGGTCAAAGGATGTTTTCAACTGCTCACTCCTTGTATCTCGCCTGCGAACTCCGCCGGGAGAATCATCTTCTGGCAACGCTGACGAGCGCTGCTGAACTGCACCGTGACAGCGCCGCCATCCCCGCGAATATCAATTACCTCGGGCAACCCTGCAATGGTTGGCAGCGGGTGAGTACTAACTATAGATCCACTGCTTCGAATTAACTTGTTCGAACGACAGATGAACGTGAAAACTGCTAACGAGGACGATCTGACAATGTTCCCGAGCGGTCGCTGACGTTCCGAAGATGGCCCTCTTCCATGTCCTTTTTCGCTTGCTTCATTCCGACATCGTTTCCGAGCCCCGTCCAGCTTTGGCGACGAGGGATCCCGCGGGCCAACGAAAGTATCGGGGGCGGGCAGATCCCCCTTCAGCAAAACACCATATAGTAAAAGCTGCAAAAGGCACTCCATGTGCGCACGGCACCGCATTCCGAGTGCATTCCAGCGGGGTGGCTCATCGACGTCCAAAAACACCCGAATATATCAGGGGAAGCGCACGTCGGTTAGCGAAAACGACTGGCGACTGCACCAGCACAGTTGAATGCCAGTGTCGAGTGAAGCAGTGCAGATTCCCTCAGTCGACTTGTCTGGGTGGGCGTCCTCTCAATATATGATCGAAATGACGTGTACGTTCAATCAAGGCTATAGATCATTCATCACGGTCCCAAGCAGCCTGGGTTAGCGTTCTAGCTCATCCTTCGCACACGTTTCCGCGGGTTCCAGTGGTTTGGCCAGCTTCTCGGAAGCTGCTCAATAATGGCTTGGCCAGAAGGAAACGGTAGGCCCCTGGATGTCACCACAACTGCACTGGGTCAGCTTAGTCGTCTCCGTTTTGCTAGCGTGCCGACCGCCTTCCCTGTGCTGCCGTTGACCAACGGCATCTGCCGTGTCCCGTCGGACAGCGTCCTGCACGCGGAGGGCAGCCGCAAATTCTTCAGCAGCATGACGCGCGCCCCCAGCTTCAAGCTCAGAATCTCGGGGGCGACGAGCTGCCGCAAGGCGGCCTGGATGCTTGGGTGCGACAGGCCGCCGTCCAGCCTGTCCGGCATTTTTCTGCTCTCTGTTGCCCACCCTGCGCCACCCCATGACTTCATGATTCTCGCACGGGGCCCTGGGCACCTCGACCCCTTCCCAGGGTTTTTCTCGTTGCGCTGCAGTCGTGCTCTGAGTGTGTCGGCTCCAGAGAGAAGCCCCCGGGAGGTTTGACATTCCAACCTGCACTCAGGGGCATGCGCTTGAGGAGTTCGCGAAGGTAGCCGCCTGTGGCCGCTCCGTGCACTGCCTGACGCTTCTGTGTGTATGGCAAATTTGCCGCCCGCGGGTGTCTCGTTGGCGCCCCGTGTGCTAGACGGCGCATCCGGGTTTTCGCCAAGTTCTCGGCCCGTGGCCGTCCGAGGACGCCTCGTGGGCGCCCCGTGCGCTGGCTGGTACTTGTGGGTGTTGGCCAAAGTCGCCGCCCGTGGCCGCCTGTGAGCGCGTTGGGTTTTCACTTGATGGCCGCCCGTAGTGTCTCGTGGGGGCCCCGTTCATCCGCAAGCGCACTACACAGAATACCTTTGAGAATCAGAGCTCGACTCTACCACCTTCTGCCGAGACCAGACTGAACGGGAACCCCTCCGCACTGTTCTTTGTCTGTCTGTTCCCCATATCCTCAGATGGGACTCTTGTTCATACTGTGGGGACGCATCCGCCTCACTCACTCACTCACCCGCCTCTTGCTTTCATACCCCAAGGTGTAAGATAGTGCAGAGTGGAACCCTTCCGAACTCGGGCTTACCCACAATCAGACTCGGACTAAAGCCTAGTTAGACTCACTCATCGCTCATATCTCCTCTCCTCCTCGTCCTCCCCATCACCTCAGCGGTTTGAAAACGGCATTTCGTATAATGTACAAGCATAATGTTTGCCAACTGCCAGATTTGTGTTGAGCAGTGTACAGTCTGGCATAGAGTCAGCTTCGCTGCTTCCGATCCAAGTCTGAGGAATCCGAGATGTGCACGGCGGTGGCCCGTCCGGCGGCCACCGCCGTCTGTGGCGGCCGCCAACGCCGAGATGTCGGCGCCAATGCGGCCGTGGACCTCCCACTTCCCCCCGTGGACCTCCCACTTCCCCTCCCCCGTAGGTCGTCGTTCTGTAAGAAACCCTGGAGAAAATGTCCTTCCAATCGCATCTCCTCTCCTCTTCGTCTCTCCTCTCCGTTACGTTGCCAGCACACTCAGTCCCACCAGCCCTGTGGGCCAAGGTGGTCTAATGGGTTATGTCTTCTCTCTGCCAAAGCCCTCTTCCATTCCAGGAGGGGTACCCTCCCCAGTCCCTCCCCGATATTTTTTTTCTTGGGGGGGAGAGTGGCGGTGTGTTGGGTGGTCCATGTTCGCCCACGGTGGCTCCCAGAGGGCCCCTGATGCTCCAAACCTGCCTCCAATAGTGTTCAAGACAGAGGACGATGGTTCAAGCTAGCTCCCGATACACCTCCAGGAGGCCCGACGAGGGCCACACGACGATTCCAAGTGCTCTCGGAGCCCCCTCAGGACCCTCCCCGAAGAGGCCACACCCATTCAAACACCAAAGAAAAAACACTGCGCTTTGCCTTCTCGCCGTTTCGCTTCCGATGCGCTTTGAGGTCCCACAATTGCTCAAGAGGCGCCCCAAGAGGGCCCCCAAGAGCGACTCTAAGGGCACTACAGGGGGAGGCGAATCGGGGAGCCACCCGCCTTTGGTCGAAAGCCTCCAGGGTGGCCTCAGGAGGTCCTCCAGGGCTCCAGAAAGGGCCCCAAGAGAGCCCCAGGAGGGCCCCAAGACGGCCCCAAGACGGCCTGAAGAGCGCCCCAAGAGCGTACCACGAGGGCCCCATGAGGTAGTTTGCCTCCTCCTCCTCCTCCTCCTCCTCCTCCTCCTCCTCTTCCTCCTCCTCCTCCCCCTCCTCATCCCCTTCCTCCTCCCCTCGCCACCCCTGCGGGCCCCAGGGATGGCCTGAAGAGGCCCTCCAAAGCCACCCCCTCTGCTCCCAGAGATCTCTCTCTTCCTCCTGGTTGCCCGCATTGTTCCCTTTCCCCGTCGATTCTCATGGGCAACGTTTCTGACTGGGCTGGCGGGGATACGTGAAAGGAATAGAATTACGCATAATCAGACTCACTCAAACATGGATCACTCAGATTCATACCTACGCATACGAAGACTCACTCTCACTCAGACTCACCCACACTCAGACTGATTCACACTCAGACTCACTCAGACTCAGATTCAGTGCCACTCAGACTCACCCAATTCAAACACACGCATACCCAGACTGACTAGCACTACGACTCACTCACAACGCGATATAGCAAGCGTGGCATGGGCACCCCAAAGGGGCCCCGCCTGGGGGTGTTGCACTTCACCGTTCGCGCACAATGTGTGGGAATGCCTCACTCGGTTTGCTTGTTTCTGCGCCGCCGGCATCTCTCTTTTGACGGTTCACTGCTCACGGTGAGCGGGCGTAGCACTTGGGCACCCCAAGGGAGTCCCGCCAGGGCGTGTTGCACTTGATCAGGCACAGGATGTGGGCATGTCTCAAGCGGTTTGCTTGTGTCGGCACTGCCGACATCTCTCTTATGGTGGTCCAGTGCCCACCGAGATATAGCAGCCGTGGCAATAGGGCATCCCACTGGAGGAGCCGACAAGGGGTGCTACACACCCCCGATCGCGACCATATTGTGAGCATATCTCAAGCGGTATGCTGGTTTCGGCGCCGTTGGCATCTCTTCTGGAGGTCCACGGCTCACCGCGATACAGAGGGCGACGCACTTGGGCACCCCAAGGGTGAGAATTCCACCGTTCGCGTCCAAAGTGTGGTCATCTCTCAAGCGGTGTGCTTGTTTCGGCGCCGCCGGCATCTCTCTTTCGGTGGTCCAATGCCCACCGCGAAAAATAGCAGGCGTGGCACTTGAGCACCCCAATGGAGAGCCGCCAGGGAGTAGGACACGCCATTCTTGGCGGCCAGATTGTGGAGACGTCTCCCGCGGTTTGCTTGTTCTGCCCCCCCAGATTTCTCGCTTTTGACAACCATGTCCCAGGCGGTTTGCTTTCTTCGGCGCTACAAGAAGGCGCGGAGGCGGAAGAGGGGTCGGGAGGGAAGGAGGAAAGGGAGAAGGCGGAGGGGAGGAAATGGGTCGGAAGAGGGACGCGCAGGTGGCCCTCACGCAGTGTCGGGCCCAGTCGTCGTCGTCGTCGTCGTCGTCGTCGTCATCGTCGTCGTCGTCGTCGTCGTCGTCGTCGTTTTCGGCGTTTGTTTTTGGCCTACGCCTCCTGCAAGCACTGCAGCTGGCGCTTGGGAGTCGCCCGGCTCGCAGCGGCGCGTCCTTCAACAGCCCAGAGAGGAGAAGGAGGAGCACGAACCGAAGTGCGCGTTGAACCAACCGCGAGGCCAAAGGCCTGGCACCCCCGGCCCAAACGCCTGGCACCCCCGGCCCAGAGAGGAGAAGGAGGAGGAGGAGAAGGACAAGAGAGGAAGGAAGAGGAAGGAAAGGACAGGGAATTGTCACCGCCTGTTTCGTGTTGCTGATGTCGTCGATACCAGACCCCTGCAACCGCCGCCGTCGTCGTCCCGCCCGTCGTCCACTCGGACTCGCTCTCACACCGAGGCACCCACAGCTGGAGATGCCAGAAAATGGGATGCACATATGGGGCTCTCCGCGTCGAGTAAAAATGGTATTGTGCACGATCGCTCTCTCTAAATACGCCACCTTGCCTGCACGTTCTGGGCGTGTTAGACTACAAAGTACTGCCCAGTAGGGACTATTAGGGGTTATACCAGCAGATGTCTGCATGCAACGCCGCCCCCTCCCGAGACCACCATCCCTGGTTAACAAAAACTATAACCCCGCGCTCCCGAGGCCACGATCCCTCGCACAAACCATGTGTCCGCGTCGCGAGCTTCCAAGACGGCCTAGGCATGCGACCAAGGCGACCAAGATGGCCCGAGGTGTCTCGAAGACGGGTCCAGATCGCCCTACGGCGGCCCAAGATTGGCCTCACGACTAGACAAAATACCTCCAAGAGAGCCCAACACGGCGACAAGAGGACCTCCCACAGGGTGCAGAGAAGTCCAACACATAAATTCACCAATGGTCTATTGTTTTTACAAACTTTCGTAGTCTCACCTTTTCGGGCTTCTGTCAGCTCAAGGCGGCCCAAGAGGCCTCCAAGATGGCCCCAAAACGGGCCAAAAGGACCGCACGAGGGTCCAAAGATCGCCCACGAGGACCCCACGAGGGCCCAAGAGGCATCCAAAACAGCCCTAAGACAGCCCAAGAGGCCAAGAGGGCCTCCAGACGGACCCAAGGCTGCCTTTCCAGGCCGTTCGGCTGCCCAAGACGGCGACAAGATGGCCCCCAGACACCCACCATAAGGTCGGCAGTGCCCCAAGACGGCCTAAGAGGGCCCCAAGGCAGCCTCAGAGGGTCCCAAGGCGCGCAGTGCGGTGCCCAACACCTTTTGGCACACGCACGTGCGCGGAATGCACAGCCGCACACTTCCGCCTTCAGGCGGGCAGATGGCTCTGGTGCTGACACCCCGACCTCCCACTCCCCTTGAGCCCCGACTCTGTTAAAAACATCACCACCAGAAGAACCAGCACCAGCATTAACATCAGCATCAGTAGCAGTTGCATCAGCATCAGCATCAGCACCATCATCATCATCATCATCAGCATCATCATCATCAGCATCACTATCATCATCATCAGCCACTACTCATCACTATTATCATCATCGTCGGCAGCGCAGGCATCAGCACCATCATCACCCCCACACACACACACACACACACACACACACACACACACACACACACACACACACACACACACACAACAATCATCAGATTCGTCTTCATGATTACCATCAACGTCATCATCAGCAGCGTAATTCGCCGGCCCAACGGGCCAGGGCGTGCTAAGATCTCCGGTAACTGGTTAACAGTATTAACAGTATTTCTAGTTCGCGCGCGCGGGGCGGCCCCTGGGGGTCCCCCGGCGAAAAGTACCCCGACCAACGCCCGGTCGCCGCCCGACCGCCGCCCGACCACCGCCCGACCAAGTCTACTCAGAGATGGTTTTCCTTCTGGGTGCGGCCTCTCAGGCTCCCCAGAGCGCGCTCAGAGTGCCCCAAGAGGCCCCCGAGACGCCCAAAGAGCGCTCCAAGACGCCGAGATGACCCCAAGACGGCCCAAAAGGCCCCCAAGACAGCCCAAGAGGCCTCCAAGACGCCCCAAGAGCCTTCCAAGAGGCCTCCGAAGAGAGCCCCAAGAGGCCAAA